AGCACGAATAGAGTCCAAACGTGTAGAAAACCGCAGGGCAAACCGGGACCGTTCGTCAGATTGAATAATGCCGCTACGCTCGTTATTGCCCGATTCGACCGGAAGCTCGGATATTATGTTTTCGGTACACGGGTTATGGCGTTGTCCTCGATCTGTATTAGCTCCATAATTAATGCCCCAGATGTGCTCCGATGCCGTGTAGCTATTCGAAATTACGATGGTTGCTGTGCAAATGTTTCCGATTCAATTCACTAACTGATTTGGACGTTATCCGTGGAGGAGTAATTTTTTTAAATTTAATACAATCTATTATTCATTTTTGAGTTAAGAATTGGTTGGTTTACTTTAGCAAGAGGGGGTTCAAGTGGACTGCAAGGAACCGATTAAGATTAACGCACACCTGCAAACATCCTGTAACCCGCTTGATCTCCAGCTCGTAATGCGGGTCGAATCCATTCAACTTTGCTTCCAATTGGATTTAGGTAACCGGTCAGGTCCGCACCCCCCAATACTTGTAGCACTTCCCAAGTTAAATGATAGAAATTATTGCCATCCGCGTTCGCCTGGCCGGGCATCGCGTTCCCGAGCAAATAACGGCGCTTTCTCGGTAGGTGATTAAAACTTTTAACGAATTTGCGAGCGAAGCAGGTGTTAATTAAAATTTATTGGTCTCGCGATCAACGGCGGAACTGTTCGCCATTCTGACCCTAACTGATTTATTCGAGTGCAAAATCGCTGAAATTCAATTTTTTTATATTTATACGAGTATTTCATCCGATAACATTCCAATCTTGATTTTTAACTGTTACATTTCAATGCTTCACGGTTTTATTAAACGAACAATAATTTAGTTATTTAAATAGTAACAACATAGTAACAAATTTGATAAAATTACAAGCAGCAATCCATTAGCATTTCGCCACAAACTAGCAGTGGTTTTCATCGGACGTTGGCAAAATATATCACAAATGAGGTCTGTACGTTCAGCGAGGGCGCAATTTTAGCGTTTTACGCTTATTTGTTGACTGGTAAACAACGTTCGTGGCGAAACAGCGCCTCTCTGGAACAACGACCACGTCAGCACAACAGTAATATCCGGTTTGTGGACGCGGAACGGTACTGTTCAACTGTCGACGGAATTATTCGCAACTGTTGCACTGACGTATGTCGCAACTAACAGCTACCGTAGTAATGGAAGTTGTTTGGTGCAAAATGCGCATGGGTTCTGCTTGAGCATTATGGTGGGTGATGATTTAAAGATATACTGAAAATTAATTAATGTAGTAAAAGTAATTAATTTAATTAAGTATTGCTGGAATTCAAACACTTTTTTACTGGTTTATTCTTAAATTCGGCTTGACGACATTACAAGTAAATTCGTTTTAAATTTCGTTTTATCTTTACCTCAAATTTTAATGTGTTAATATTTTGAATTTTAATCATCTGTATACAAATCTTTAATTTATAATGTATATCCGTCATTAATTTGTGACAGAAAGTATTGGAAATTCTACAAATGTTGAAAGCGTTTTTTAAACTCTGTTTTTTTAAATTAACGACGCTTCTGAAGATGACCTAAGTCGAAACTTGTCAAGCCGAATTTAAGAATAAACCAGTAAAAAAGTACAAAATTAATTAATGTATATTTTCTTCGTTTACATTTAAAATACTGGTAAAATAGATTACACAATCAACATTGATCATTTTAAAGATATAATTCAATTTAAATAAATCAAGTTATCAAAATATTGTAAGGAACAGTAAGTAGCGCCATTTTCATCGAAAGTTCATGTCGTATTATATCGTCACTCCCTGCGAAAAATGTCACAGTCGCCTGGGAAACCATAACACGATGTAGCACTTTATGTACTCGGACTATGCATAAAATATTTCGATGGGGATGTCTTTTAGAAAGTGCTTGTCAGAAGCAGTGCGAAGCACGAGAAACGGAATTTGCTTTTTATTTAGATTGGCACGAGCGTGTTAATGTAAACGTAAAAGTACGGAAGATGTACAATTTCGTTACATCATTTTAGAATTAATTTGTGGACTAGATTTCGACATAGGTAATGGGTTCTGTTCCGTAATACCGGTTTAATTGGACAAGTTCGATCCAAATTGTTTGTTTTACAAATCGCAGCAGGCGACCGTGGTGTCTTCGATCGTTCAATTGAATAGCGGACAAATCTTTTTGTTCGTTTCGCCTAATGGTGAACAGATTGCTCCGTGTAATTGAATTTGCGTGCGGGACATTCGAATCTAGCGCGATGTTTTATTTATATCCGCGTCGACGGAAAGCCGATATTCTATTACTATCGCTCGCGCAAAGATGCACCTTTTTCAATTCTCGAAATCGATTGTTTTATAGCATACAACGTAAAGAGATTTTCTTTAAATCTGCTAACAAAAAAGTTACGATAAATGAATAGGCTATTTCGCAAAGAGCGTTAGTCATGGTAGTTGCCGTTTACGTAGATGTGAGGTAGAACACCGCAATATGGCCTATACAGCCGGCAGCTCAATGAGGCGGAGGGTGCTGGCGAGGTTCGCTAGAAAAATCAAAGCGGACCTTTTAACTTTTGGCTCCAGCCAGCCACCCCGGCAAAGTGGACCGTTCAACCTCGGTAATGGCTTTTTAAGGTAAAATCGCACCCTTGTCCAAGCGCTTTGCGTTTTCGACTATTTCCAACGAACCATAATACGCAATTACGACTGCAAGGGTCGTTTCATTCGACAATTGAGTGCACGAGATTTGAATTAAAAAGAACAATTACAAATAAATTAAAAATATACAACCATTTTCGTTAATATATGTACATATTTCGTACTCTTTTAAAATGAAATACGTCGAGATACAGAGTTGAGAGCCGCCCTTTTTGCCCAAAACCCCAACGTATTCCGGGCACGGCGTCAACCTCTAGCGGAAACGCATAAAACGATACGAATCATATATCATGCGCCGAGCGGATAATGCGCCCGTAATAAAACACACATCTAGGCAACGTGTGTGGAATAAATGACCGTCGTATCTCTTCTGGCCGATTGACGTTGATGAATTGTATTGACTTCCGGTCAAAGGTTCGATTACGTAATTGCTACTATGACGACAGACTTCGCATGACGGGTCTTTTTTGTATTAAGAATCATTACTAAATCTTCCATTTTCAGAAATAATACAAAGTGATCAGTAAGAATGTAGCCATTGATCAAGAAGTGATCCGATTCATTACGCGTTCCGCTCCAAATCGAGACAATTTGCATATTGGAAACATTCGTCAATCGGCGAAAAACGGGAAGCCATAAAAAGTGCACTCCGTGGAGAGGTTTCCTTTCGCAACACCACATCTACATTTTAATCAAATCCGTACGTCACCGGCACCGGACCGATTTGCAAAACGCAGATTGGATCGACGCAGTGGCCGAAACAGGTCCAAACGGGGCCGCCCGGATAATGGGGCCCGTCGCGAGCACGGATTGGGCGCCATAAAACATTTCCGCCGGAAATAGAGTATGACTCGATTCCGATGCCATCAAAAATATGCACACCTGAACGGGTAAGGTCGAGCTGAGGGATTTCTCTTATTTGCTGTCGTTAGGGTGGGATCGGGATGCGGTGACCCCGATATGAAATCGGGGCTAAAAGCCTAGCACAATCTATAGAATACCGGTTCCCCGATATTCCCGCTTGTTAAGGAAAACCGATACGTATGAAAATTGAGAACCCTGAATGCGCAAATACTGTACGTAGTATCTGATTACCATCGTCGACTTATACGGTGAAATTCAAATCTGTTGGGCGCGCACTTCAGAAGATATTGTTAAACAGTGATTGTAAGGAAATCCGATATATAATACAATGCTGATCTAAAATTAAAATATTTGGATATACTGAAGGAAACTATCAAATTCTTTCCAATATAATAATAAACTTCCGATAGTTAATTTGGTCTTAAGATACACGGCTAAACCCGAAACTTTTGTTTATTTTTTATGATGAAGTAATATATTTTCTATTTTAAGGCAATAACCTTCAGCATAACTTGGATCTTCAAACAACAATACATATTCATCCATATGAGTCGCAGGTTGCTTATTTACAATAGCTTTATAAAAACAGGTCGTTTATGGATATAAAGCCATCACTACTGTTCCTAGTGGAAATAAAGCACTAGAGTCAGTTTCAGGATTTGCTCTCATTAAGGGTAAACTCAACGTGTGACGTTCCTTTTGATTCTGCTCTTCCAAAATATCGTCAACTTCGTATTTATTCGTGGTGTGATTATAACTGACTACTTCCGCTAGGATGCAATCACCATCGGCTACTTTAACCAAAACGGCCACATTATCTCCAACCTTAGCTACATAATTTGGATCGGCTGGAACAGCACCGCACAAAGGCGGTGGTTTTTCACCAATTTTACTTACGAATAACGGAAGTGTTTGTGCAGAACTTAGTAACATTTTCATCCAAGGACCTGAACAGAGTCTGAATTCTACGTTCGTTTTTAATGTTCTGTATTTTGGTGATTTTTTGTAAAGCTTTTCTCAAGACTTCTTGTTTAGCGTGAGCTATTGTGCCTTTGTATAAACCTTTTAATTTCATCTGATAATGTAGTCAGGATTTCTCATCTAGAGAGTTTTACATTTTCTGAATATTATTAATCCCATGTTCACTTTGTTGTCTCTTCTTCTCAATGTCATGCACCAATTGGTACAAAGCTTTTAAACGTTCTTGTACATGTTGGGCAGCTATGGTATCTGCTGTTAAAGGCATTTCATCTATATATATATTTTTTATTTCAGCAAGAATCTGAGTTGAAAAACTTTTGTAAAGCTATTGCTTGGTACCAAGATAAGCAAACTAACAAGGCTAAAAATAAATTACATAAAGTGGAACGATTTGTAAGTTGATTTAACATAAAATGCAGCATCTAAACAATTTTTTACATTTAAACTCTGTTAAATTAGTTTTCTAACCTGATATTTTTTGTTTTTTTCAGGGGAAGTGGAACGGTTGCTTAGAGAGTACACGCAAAACCAAGAAATGGTGCGCAACATCGGATCGCATTACTACCAGATCATCTACCCAGTTCAGCTACGGCAACACAAGAAGATGGGTATCTCAACCAGGGAGATAGGGTCGTCTAAGGTACGCAAAGCGAGGAGTACGGTATGTCATGCACAAATTCATCCCATATTACGCCACCTAGTTGAATTCGCGCGCACTCGTTTAACATATTGTTCGAGCGTACAATATTCTCCTTACGGAAGTACTCTTTTATTACTTCTCTCACCGTATTTGCTTTCTTTATGTTCATTTTCAACAAATTTCGTTTCGTGTGATGTTGACATTAATTTTTGACGAAACGTTATATTTCGAATCTAAAATCACTCAACGTCGGAGTTTATTATGACCTGGAGCCGTATCAAACGCACGTGTTGCAATGTCCGTCAATCAGGGCAATAAGTCTGCGTCGAACATCGCACGTAACGTTGGCACCGTGCAGTGGCGCCCCCGCGGCGGAAGGCGGACGCGTTGCAAATAGTAACTCGCAGGGAGCGCTGCGACCCACGTCGTGTCACCTCCATATGCACATTAATTAACGACTAAACTACGTCAGATTAATACATATATCTAAACATCACACGCTCCCTCTACGGTATTGTCATATACGCTAGATAAGTTCGACAACTACTACATACAATTTGAGATTTATGTTGTTGATTCACTCACGTTTAATAAAACCTTTATTGATTTAGTTTTCGTTTCAATTCCAAGTTGATTATTGGAAAACTACTTAAAATGTTTCCTCGTACGTCTTTAGCAAAGTTTTTAGACAGATATAAATACTAGTACAAAAGGAACGATATCCACTTACGAAAAGCTCGCGTAAGCGAGTCCGGTGCAATAATGAGCGAAACTTGCTCGTTCCTTATTGCAGGCCCGCAATTTAGCTCATCCTTTATAAAAATCCTCTCTTCTGCTTCACGAGCAGTTTAAAATTGGAAGGGCGATAGTGCCGCGACGTCTCTACTGTTCGAAACAAGGTTGCCGAGGGAAGGAAATATTTCAATTCCACCAACGGATTCTTTTGTGAACCGCGACCCGAGGCAAAGTTGAAACGTAACGAGGTTGGCTCTCGCGTTCTTGTAACGCGACGTCGACGCCTCTAAAGTTTGATAATAAGAAGACGCTCTCGATTGGGCTTCAAGAATGACGATATTTGTTAGTGAACTCAGTTAAATAGTGTCACTGTATAATCCAACCTTTTTACGTCCCTATTATTTGCAAAAACATATGAGTACTCTTCAAAGGGGAGCAAAAAAGAAGGAGGTCCTTAGGGTCCCTTTGAAACATCAACCCCCTTTCTGCTCAGGTATAATCATTTAGTGTAAGACGTACAGGTACACGACAAAATAATTTACCGAAGGATAAGGACCGCAGTTCAAAAGGACGATGACGACGGCGTCAAAATCGGGGACAATATCGAGTGATATCCCAGAGAAGCTCCACTCGTCTAGATGGGCTTCGGAATAATTAAGCCGACGTCAATTGGCGCGGGTAGTTCCTCTAAAGAGCACCACCCCCCGTTTAAAAACAACAAGTAAGGGCGAACAATGGACGGGGTGAGTGGTGAGGCATTGTTCAGTAGCCTCGCCGCTCCCGTCTACTTAACTCCCCCGCCGTACGTGTCTTTCTTTAAAGGTGGGCGCACCCTTTTGTGCTGCCGCCAGCGTCTTCCTTCGAAACCCTCTATGCTCTGCTTACCAACTATGCGACTGTTATGTTTGGCTGATACCTAAAAGACCTCGATACGTAAGCTTCCTTATTATTGCTACCTACCTTTGAAGCCAAATAATGCAACTAGTTCTCTTCTAGTCTTATATACAATGTTTTAGAAACATTTATAACATCATTATACCATTTTCAAATATGTTTGCTAAGTAAAGTAAGATTTGTTGCGAAATAGTTTTTATTTTTCTATAAACTATTATATGTCATTAGACGCAATTTATAGTTTGAAGCTATTAGAAAATTACAACTTCCTCCATTGTCACCACAAATTCACCGTAACTACTCAATGGCCTTTGATTGTGACCAATTACGCTACGATGCTCTAATTGTCAAAGGCCCTTGATATGTGTGTATAAGTACAAAGAAACCGCAAACTAGGTGGACTAATGATCAATATTGTAATTATTTCGTAACATCAAAAGAGACTCACTTATGAGAACACTATGCGTAACACCAATAATATTTCTGCTAGAGCTGCAATTGATACCAATGGCATCGATACACTTTATGGGGAAACGATACGTTTTAAATCAGGAGATCACATCACGCTGATGGAAGCTGGGGTGCATTCTCTCCTCTACTTTGCTGTTTTTTAATTATTGACAAGTTGGCTACGATTCTCAAGGTTGAAGTTGACCTCATCATCACTTTCAGTGTAAATATATGGTTGCTTTGTATTTCAGGGGTTGCCACAGACTTTCTTGGTTGAATGATTTTTAAAACCCCGGAATCTTGTGGAATTTGATCATGACAGACCAGTATTAAAATGGGAGTCTTTACAAGAAACTACAGGACATGACATACTTTTTTGAGTTAAAGATATGATTATGTTTTGTGTTCCCCTTGATTAATAATAGCTTATATAGTTTTTCTTACATGTTTTGTTAAAAAATTTCATTGAATTACATTTCGGAAACTGAGATATTATCATTTTCCGGGCTGTATATAGACTTTATTGTATCACTGTATGCCGAGCTTTGCGATAAGCATCGGTGATAAACGGAAACTTATCTTTTTGTTTAATGACTCAACTGCGCCGTTTCTACCAACTGCTACCACCTGCTCCATATACATATTACGTTCTGTATTCCGCTAACGCCACCGATAAAGTCGAAATTCCCATCACATTTCACCACTAAAAGATATAAATCTTTCATCCAGATACATAATTGAGACTTATGTTGAGACTTAGAGATTGTCAGACGGTTTCGCGGTGAGAACACGCTTTTTCCGTGCTCCGTGTTTTAACGGTTTTCCTGTGAATAGCAGCGTGGTTTTAATTCGTGACTTTTACCGATGTGTAGCTCAGTTAACGCAGGTTATCAGTGCTTTGTTAGTCTACTCATCCTAGCTGAGTTTGTTCGTTGAAACGGGTGGAACTTTCCTAAAAATAAGTGAATTTTTCTTTCTATAAACCTTGTTTCTTGGGTGAAACTGGTCGCGATGCCTACCAAAAAGAAATTTTGTGGGCGGTGTAACCAGCTGGTGGGGAGGGACACCCCTGGTGTTCAATGCGTCTCGTGCCGGGCGTGGTTTCACGCCAAATGTGTGGACATCGCTAAAGATTCTGCCGTGGCACTATCAGTCGCCGGAGCGTCGTGGAGATGTTCCGTCTGTAGATCGCCTCCGCCGCCCGCACGACGTACTTCCCGTTCTTTCATCAGCACATCTATTCCCGGGAGCATTGCGGCCGAACATGCTCCGCCTGTCTCTCTTGAAACAATTTTTGATATGGTCAGAGAGATGCGAACGGATATGCGTGAGATGAGCTCTAGATATGACAATTTGGTCGAGTCGGTGGAGTTCTGTAGTCAGCGAGTGTCTGATTTTGAGGTGACTGTGAAGCGCTTCCAGGAGCAGATGAAAATCATTGACAGACTGAACGCTGAAAATATATCCCTGAAAAAACAAGTAACCGATTTGTCCGATCGTGTTTCTGATATGGAACAATATTCTCGCAGGAATAATCTGGAGATCCAGGGGGTGCCTGAGAGGGACAATGAAAACCTGGTAGAAGTGCTGGGGTCCATTGGTAATTTTCTTCAGGTTCCTGTATCCTCGACGGATGTGGACGCGGTTCATCGTGTTCCGCATGGTGCAGGGTTTCGGAATCGGGAGGCAACCCCCAAGACCATTATTGTGAAGTTCTGCAGTCGTCTCAGACGGGATAACTTCCTGGCCGCTGNCAATTGTTACTTATATACATATATATATATATTTTTTTTTTGTTTTATATTTTTTGTATAATTTTCATTTGGTTTGCGTCTCTGTATGTATTTTTTCTGGCTTATATTGCGCTGATATTTCTGTTTGATTTCTTTATGTCAATGTTGTGATGCAGTATTATAGGGTTTGTCCCGTTCTGTATCCATTTGTATAAATAAATAAATAAAAAATTCGACGTGAATTTCGTTTTCATAGTCTTTTAAAACAAACATTTTTTTCGGTTTAAATAATCTTTCCCTCCCCTTAGCATCTCATAAATCAATAAGATGACGTTTAAGCTGATCTGTGCATGCGAGTATATGCATGCGTGTATGAGTATACGTGATGGAGTAGAACGACAATGTAGGGTTGATTTTACGTGCTGAATTTTCTGTTTCAGAGAGGCCAGGGCGATGGCAGCTATCCTGGTTCGAGCAGAGGTCGACAAAGGGTAAGTTTGCATACCTTTGCATATTTTCAAAACGAGACGTCTTTCTACGTACACCTTACATACCTTTGTAAAGTCAGAAGAGAAGATGTGTTTCACGCTAACTTATCAAATTGTTACGAGAGAAGTATTAAAATTTATTTATTCGAATTGAAAGAACTTACAATTGTTACTAAATCAGAAATAGTCCGATTAAGATTCATGCTGTTAGAGGAGCTATTTGATTTATGTGTCAATATCAGCTTTAGTGCTGTGTATTGAAGTTATCCGAGATTGGTTTACTACCGTATATTGATTGCCTAATTATTGCAGGATTGGATGCGTTCTATACGTATGTAGTCACATCATGGGTAACACATAATTACACAAAATTACTTACATAACCTATTGTTCGGTGTAAAGTAACTTCGTATTCTATAAGCTTTCCAAAGCGATTAGAGTAACTTGTTCTATATTGTTTAAAAGTTGTTCTATCAAGAACACTATAACCTTGAATTTTTCGATTTGATTGTCAACGAGATATACTCTAAACGAAAAGTTTAAACGAACTAGTTTAGGAAGACCCCGATTCTCGTTCAATCAAAGTTGAACCGTTAACTGGCATCTGGGCGAGAATTTGAATGGGCAGTATTTCACAATCGGTCGGTTGATTTCGTCACCAGATGTCTGTTGAAATATGACCTAGCTACTTTTTCAGTCGCAAAACTTTCCCTTTCGTCTGATCCGAATTGAAAACCCGTCCCATTTTAAAAAGTGGCACGCCCCGATATCTGGCACAGATGGGAATCTATTCGAATCACCAAGGTTCATAAAATATGAGCTCCGCAGAATTCATTCGATTTTTTAACTTATTTTCGATGGTAATAACGGGTATTTTCGTCGTTTTCAAATCAATTTAAACCATGAACTGTACATTATTATATAAACGTTCCTGGATTAAGTGTAATTAGCCCAAAAATTGTAACGGCAGATTGGAACGACGAAATAAATATTTAAATAGAAAATGCGAGCGACAGCTTTAAGCTTTAGTCGTCTAGTGAAGCTACATCTCCAGCGTCTTTGCATTACCCACGATGAAATTCATGTTGGTGGGATCATCCTACCCACGGGAGTGCATTCGGAAACGTTTCAGCATCCCCTCGGTTGGCGATCACCATCCGAAATGAACCCCAAATGTAAACCGCATTATCAATTCAGATCTGACAGTACGTCTCTTATTTGATTTCTATTTTATACATCGCCTACCGACGAGCAATTTCTAAAACAGAGAATTAGCATAAGCCAGATTTTAAATCTTGGTAGAAAATTTGAATAGTTGAAAGAAGATTTTCTTCTTCGTCTTTCTTTTAGACTTGTCCGTCTGTTAATTTTTTGGTATCTTTTTGGTGGCCTTCCTGGTAAAAGCTTTCTTGCTGCCCACCTTTATGAACAATTCTTCACTGCTTGCTTTGGTTATAAGAGAAATAATAGATTATTGTACTTGATTTAAGTTGAGCTCACCCTGTTTGCTAATCTAAACATGAATCTGGGAAAATTAAGCGACGCATGTCCGGTAATTGTTGTAGTGGCGCAGGGGTGAAGTAGTTTCGAGACAAAAAGCTATTATGCACGTGCTACGCTCGTTGGGTGGCGTCGGGGCATCGCATTCCGCTCACGCCTCCTACCGTTGTTTATGATACGCGTTTTATCTGGGTATAGGGGTAAAACGTAGAGGAGCGTACGTTGGGGGGATTACGAGGTACCTAATCGCGCTCTACCAGGTTGTTGTGGTTGCCCCCAGATCGTGTTTTTACACTACCCTGATTAAAATGTAATACTGTGGCAATGAGAAAAATTAAAAAGACAATGAATTACATCACCTCTAAATAGATCGAATTAAATTACTATTTAACTTTTAATTTATTGCTTTGTTGCCATCCCTTTTGATGAGATAGATGCACACAATCGCAATCTGCACAAAGTGTCATTCACAATTCAGTAGGATATTGTTTTCAAAGACACGATTCCGATATCCGATACAATTAATCCGGCGAGGATGTAAACGACATCCTGACCGCCTGTTGTAGTAATATTTGAATTGAACCTAAAGGATAAATATTAGCTCGCTTCCGGCACCGATCACCGCGCAAATCAAATCGAACGCAAATGCGTTCGTTCCGCAACTGGTGGCCTAATTACCAATTACCCATGTATTCCGGTTGAATTTGAAACAAATATCAAAACGACCTTTAAATTACTTACATTTTACTATTTTCTACGTTTAATTATATCAATTTATAAGGGGAAAATCAACAAAAGATATTAATAACTCATCAAACCAATAAATTCCATTTTATTGAACCCGAACAAAAAAAATTATTCAGATAAAAAAATAACTGTTCAAATACACGAAGAATTTAATTTCGCGTCGATATTAAATTAAAAGCGATTTCAATTTAACTTCGACTGTGGAATTAAACAAAATGTTTTGAAATATCAAAAAGCTCACAGATTTATGCAACTTCTGAATGTAGAACGATATATTCCAAATCATTTTACATTTCTTTTAATATTATCAAAATAGATAAAGAATATGAATCGTCCAACGCAATTTATATATAGCTAAAAAAATTATGTTAAAATGTCCATCGACGTCCCGATCAATACATTCCCTGATTGACAGTAATTCGCTTATCGGGTGACGAATGATGAAGCTCGCTCAATACAAGGACGTATAACGTAGACTAAAACGAGATAACTACGGTATGTTGTTGACGGAAACACATCTGGTACATACCATGAAGATATCAAATTGTCGATATTTGCATGTAACGGATTTTCCAATAGGAACATAACATTGTGTTTTAATAGGAACACATCTTTGATCTTTAAAAAATTCAAAATCCATTAAAGGAAAATGTTCTTTGGAATAGAAATGATATTCTAATTGTTTGGGCAAATTCCAACCAAATGTTAATTGTATCATTTTCGATATACTTTTCAACAACACCGAAGGGTCCTCTCTAACGTATCTACGAGTTTTCACCAAGGTTTCAATTTCTGTAACACACGCCGTTGTCTCTTTATTATTTTACCCCAAGGACAACAATTTTGCCGAACAAAAATTAACCTTTATGTCTGTTAGGTACAATGCTACATTTATCTCCTTTATGTACAACGTTATCCCCATCTATAATTAAATCACGAACTTTAACATCTTTCACCTCTTTAAAACTGGCATAAATCATGCTTTTCATTGCTTTCTGTCAAATTGTACCGAAATCATATGTGTCGATCAATCAGTTCATGTACATTTTAAAAAACGGGATAGCTTTCAAAGGCAAACAAAAAAAGCAAAGTTGATTGACGTGCTGAAGTTGACAATCGGGTAACTGCTTCATTTAATTTAACATTAGATTCCCCTCGAATCACGTAGTCAAACAAAATGTAAAAAACAATTTTATTTTCACACCTTTACGCTTATCTCCACTTCGTTGAAAACTCGTTTTTCATATTTCATCTCAGTTATAGCGTAATTTTTGGGATTCTGTTACGGCTGCAGCAGTACTTTGACGGTTTTTTCGTTAATTTGTCGACCACCCACGCGTGTTATTATTGAAGCCGTCGAGTTTATGAACGCTGCATGGCCAAAATTATTGCGACGTGAATTTTTTTCGGAAGGCCAGGATTTTCAGAGCCCCGTTTGGCTTCCCGCGTATTGAAAAGACCCCTGAGCGGAATTACACGTCGCGCCGGCAGGATTTGCGAGGATCCGGTACTTTTTTTACATTTTCTCAATTTCGAAATGCCCGTTTCATTCCGTGGTTGCCGCCCGTATAAACGTGGTTGGTTGTACTGGTAGACGGAAATTTCTAGCGAGTCCATAGGATTTTGTCGGCGTTGTTTAGATTGAAGAACTTTTATTTGTCCTTTGCTGTCGGCAACTTTTTTTAAATAACATTCGCTTTGCCTTGTTTTCTAAAACAAAAATATTACTTTGCACTTTAAGTACTTAAATTATACGCGCGAAAATGTTTGTTAATTAATTGTAGTAGGAGGCAAAAGCTTCTAGAAACGTTGCATCAATGCGCGGTAGTTATTTTGGGGCTAAAACCACATTTGTGGACATTAACGAATCGCCATTATCAACGCACGAATCGTATCCGAGTAAATTACGAACGAGCAACGGCTTTCTAGCAGTAATAACACTGTATGCTATACCACAACGCCAGGGGGCAACGTATATTGCAAAGCCAAAAATCGTCATCCAATTTCCACTGAAAAAGCCACTGCCGAGTTGTTCGCCAATTTATAATTTGCGGTTTTCACAAAACGCATTTTGAATCAATACATGCATGGAAATATACAATGCCCCGGGAAGTTATCACACAATTTCAATGAAGCACCAAAAATTATTTTTGAAAAAATTCATAATTCATTCATTTCGAGCAATCTTAACACAGCTTTTACGTTCATTCCTTGTTACAATTATTAAGGAATTAGGATTATTTTGGAATCACAGGAAATATAAGATAACTATGAAGTACATTCATAAGAGGGAGCGTATTATTAGAAAACAGGATGTAGTGTAAGAATAACTAATATTATCTAGCGATAACATCACTGATAATGAAGTTTAGTTTGCACTTACTTAACGCCATCAATATCAATTTCGAGGCGTTATTAACGTAGTAACCATGCCATTAGCGGAACACATTTTCATCCTTGACAGGGTTTCGAGGGACACGTGCCGGGACCGCGCATCATTGCGCTCTTGCATCCTTGCACAGTCTTACGGTTCTGGCCCTAATCCTGGCTCTCCATTCCATTTAGGCGCACTTAGCGAGATCATTACTCAAATATTTACACTAAGAGCTCGTTCAACGAAAGAAGGTTCTTGCCTTCGAACTAGAACTAGGTATTATAAAATTTATGGAGGGCATCGCTATGCAAATTAAGTGCAGAGCTCTATTGTAAATACTATGTAAGAAATCGTTGTATTGAAAGATTCAATTCCGTGGTCT